CGTAGGGCGACAAGCCAGTTGGGACTTGGGAGGGCACGTTGCAGGAATCGGAGAAGATGTGTTTGGTTTCCTGGCTTTAGTTGTAGCCTGGCTAGGCTAAACCTGGTTCCAGCAAGCCAGCATGGGGTTGCTTAGTTGTCTGTACTGTCTAAGCTTGGCTAGCGCTACAGCGTGTTTGGTTGCCTGGTTTGCTTTGATAGAGACACCTCTTCTCTAAATTGGTAAGTTTCCCCTTCGCGAGATTTCGTCGAGCATGTTGTGGGCATCCTCGAGCAGCAGCACACGGCAGTAGGCAGGGCGAGCACCCGGCGGCCATTCTCAATCTGGGTGCTTCCCCGGCAATCCCGACGACCTTCTGGTTGAGGCCAAGAGCACCAGGCGGCCATTCTCAATCTGGGTGCTCACCTTCTTGTCACCAGCACAAATCGTCCTCACTTACCAAGTTGCTGCGTGCAGGCGCCACCCACACCGATCGAGCTTGCAGTTGCAGGCATGGAGCTGGTGACCGGGGCGATGGGGCCCTCCTCCTCAAACTGGGCGAGCTGCTCAAGTAGGAGTACGGCCTTCAGAAGGGCGTCAAGAAGAAGATCGAGTCTCTGTCACGGGAGCTCAGGGTCGTGCACGCCGGGCTCGTTCCTCTTCCATGTCAGCCTCGTCGGGCACGCGGAGGAGCTCCATGCGCGAGCCGGGTCATCCGCGATGGCCGCCTCCTCCCCGGCGACCTGCGGCCTCCAGCGCGACCCTCCCCATCCGGCCATCCCCGAGCTCGTGCTCAGCACGGTTAAGAGCGGGGAGCTATACCGGAGGACCCAAGGCCGCCGTCCCACTGCGGCTGCACCACTACCTCGTGATCGTGGCGGCCGCAGTCGTCCTCGCCTGCCTCAGGTACGCGCCGGACGCCGCGGGGTACAGCCTCCGTGCTGGCGACAGCGGCGACCGCGGTGGCCTCCACCGGCGGCGCGACGGGCAGGTGCCCCTGCCGGAAGGGAAGACGACGCTGAAACAGGACGCTGCGCCTTTGCTCCCCGTTACCAGCACCGTTGCCGGCGGCGGCTCCGCGCCGTCGTCCGCCACGGGCCACTTCTTTTTTTTTTCGAGAACGTGTGTTGCCATGTATTTCATTAAGCACAGGAAAAGAGTTTTGTTACAGCTACCGCCCCAATACAGGAATCCAAAGATTACCGTTACCCTTCCCGTCACCAGACTCGCACACGGTTGTAATTACACAGTAAATATAATACGCGATTAAGACGACGAACATCCTCCATCCGTCCGACGAAGCAAGTCGAGCACGTCCAAGTGCCGATACCCCGCCGCAGTCCACATGGTAATCTCATCTTCAATGACTTAAGTAGCTGCGCCACCGACCTTGGCGTCCCATTGAAGGTTCTCGCATTTCCATAATGTCCAACCAACAAGGAAGAACAAGGAATCGAATCCGCGACAGAATTGATTTGGGCAAGCACCTCCTAGAGTCCGTCCACCACTGCATGATGTCGCTCTCCTGAACGAGTACTCGATCCTGCAAACGAAATCTTCTCAGACACGATGCCCACACTTCCCTGCTGAAGACGCAGCCGAGGATGATGTGATCCATCGTTTCCACCGCCTGGTCGCAGATGATGCAAATGTTGCTCTCTTGTAGTCCATGACGCCATCTCCTATGTGTCGTCCAGCATCTGTCATGCATAACAAGCCAGAAGAAGAACTTGACACGCTGTGGCGTAGCGGTTTTCCAAAGTTGCTTCGCGCCAAGAGGTCTGGGGCAGCCGACGAACATCGCTCCATGAGCCGAGGACGCCGAATACTGCTGATCGGCCATAAGCCTCCAGGCAAAGGTGTCCGGTACACCCGGACGTAGCTGCACCTGCTCCAACGTGTTGCAGAGGCCAATGAACTCCGTGAGCAGTCTCATAGTGCGCGGCCCAGTGATGTGATGCACCCATGACCGCCCCTGCAGTGCCTCCGCAACGAACACGCATCTTCTCCTCTTTGGGACTGCTGCGAACACAGCGGGAGCCAGGCAGCGTATGTTCGTCCCCTGGAGCCAATTGTCAGTCCAGAAGAGCGTCGACTCTCCATTACCCAGAGCCGAGACTGTGGCCGCCCTGAAAATGTCCATCACCGCCCGCTCGTCAGCATCTGGCAATGCCCGCCACGTCCGTTCCTGGTCAACCCGACGAAGCCAAGGCCACCGAACCCGTAGCGCAACCCCCGTCCGTCAGACATCAGCCACTCCTAGTCCACCAAGATCGCGCGGTCTGCAGACAATCTCCCAGGCCACCTTGCATCGCCCTCCAAAAACCGAAGCGGAGCCACACCAAATGAATGCCCTGTGGAGTTTGTCAATGCACTCAATCGCTCACGAGGACAGGCACAGCGCAATCAACGTATGGACTGGAATGGCCGATAAAGTGGTCTTGACAAGCGTTGTTCTTCCTGCAATGTTTAGCAGATTGCCCTTCCACTGAGGTATACGAGCAGCGACGGCGTCAATGAGCGCCTGCTCCTTACCTTTCTTCAACCTGAAGATGGACAAAGGGATACCCAGGTAGCGGTTGGGGAATCCTTCTATGGGGCAGGAGAGGATTTCCTGTATCCTCACAATGTCATCCTCGCTGCAGTGCATCGGCGTTGCTACGCTCTTGTCCAGGTTTGCAAAAAGACCAGACGCTAAGCCGAAAATCTGGAGGGTCGATCTCAGCACCAAAAGGTCATGCTCGCCACGGGCCTCTTCGACGCAAGCTCCCCGTCGTCCTCTACTTCCATGGCAGCGGCTTCGTGATCCTCTCCCCAGCCACCGTCTTCTACCACGGCCACTGCGAGGCGACGGCGGCCTGCGGTGCCCGCCATCGTGGCATCCCTCGAGTACCGGCGGGGCGCTCGTGGCGTGGCTCCGCGACGGCGCGCCGGGCGACCCCTGGGTGGCACGGGGACCTCTCCCGCTGCTTCCTCATGGGTAGGAGCTCCAGCGGTGCGGACGTTGCGTTGTGTTGCGTTGCGGCGCTACGGTGCGAAACATGGTGCGGTGACGCGAACTCAACCGAGGCTGGCCAGAGCCTGGCCAGCTGTGTTTTTCCAGGGCCAGGCCAGGCCTGTACCGTTGGCCTCGCGTAGCCAGGCTCCAGGCCCCGAGTAACTCATACGGGCATCAAACTTAAAATGATAGCAAAAGACCTAAAATCATTCTCCAACACAGTACCTATACGAAAGACCTATTTTGGATTGCCTGAGAGACACAATCTAAATATGGACATCCTCTCTCCTGGAAACCTATTTGCAGAAAGTATTCTCTTTTGGGTCGTGTTGTTGGGAAGATACCGAATATGTATTGAACCTTTTACCTGTAGCGCTACCCAAAGGACAAATATGTCTTGTATTTTAGGTGTTGTTGTTGGAGATAGCCTTACAGCCGACCAAACAAGCCAAACTTGGCTTCAGAGAAGCCGGTCAGGGGTTGACCACCCAACCAAAAATACTGGAAGTCGAAGTGGCGGGTTGGAGGCGTACTTGGCTCGGTTCGGTCGTCGTTTGGCTTTTAGTTTTAGTTTATTTTAATCATATAAACACTTTATAAGTTGTACAGTACCAAATAAGCCCAAAGTGCTCCAACAATAGCCAAGCCAGCAAGATTGACTTTGTTCAGCTCAACTAGTGACTGCACTGATTCTTGAACCTTTTTCAACATTTCCTCACTGGTTCCTGCCTCACAAACAACAGAATTTCGACGCTCTTCAATCCAATTCACGACAGCTCGCTTCTTGTCAGAACAAAAGTCACCTGATTTCAAAATAAGATATTGGTTAGCCTAGAAAATTAACAGCAACATAGGCGAAGAAAATGTTGGATGCTCTTGTATCAACAATTCTGTAGTCATTTGATGCACAGAACTACGCTCATGGAAGAAGTTATGGCCATACAAGACATTGATGGAACACCAAAGCTGTAGCTTGCCTGATAAAGTAGTGGGATGCGTCAGATTGAATATTCTTTCTTGTGGTTTTACAATATTATGCTGATGACACCACACACCAGGAATTTATTAGCACAACCGAATAAGACATACACATTGCAGATCAGAATCGTTAACTTGTGTAACATAAGTACTCATATGGCTGCTCGAAATCATGTTTCTAATAATCGGGTTTTTTTTCAGTTTGTGTGCTTTCTCCTGAGTATGCATGACGTCCATTCGTCCAAGAAAAGGTAGTTCTAACTTCTCAGAGCAAGTATTGGTCAAAGTTATGTGTATTGTATTTGTATTACCCAAAAAAAAAAGGTTTATGGCTTGTATGAAAAAAGCAGTTTTTGTCGCTCCTTAAAATCCTAATGCATAGTGTAGTGCAAATGAAGGAGTACTTGAAGTTCAAGTTCCTATGCCTTGCCAAGTTGGTTCACTGACCATCTAGTCTAAGTTTAATAAAGCCAACCATCTTGCTGTCCTCCAGCTGTCCTCAATGATTCAACAGAACAAGTAGTAATTGGTACTGATACTGCTGAAGGTCTTTCATAGTCGCTTAGTCAGGGAAGTCATTCTGAAGGCTGAAGGAAGGGCCATGCAGCCGTCACAAACCTGCTTGAGCTGTTCACCACATCATGCTCCATCATCCTACAATAATTTTGAAACCTTACAAAAAATTGAAGTAACAGATGAGGCAATTATTGGCTTTGATTAAGACAGGCATCTTGAGCTTCAGAGCCATAGAGTGAAGCTTTATAAAGCAAGTGGAAGATGATCCCAGGTTTTCCGGCTACAAATTGCAAGAAACAATGTCAACATAAGTTCACTTATGCTGAAAATTCTCCCTACCTTATCATCCATCACAACCAAAGTGAATGGCACAACACAAAAGAAAGTAGCAGCTTGAACACAGAGATACTGCCTGGAAGCAAAAGCACTGCTTCAGGGCAGCCATGTTAAAACACTAAGCTAAGAACAAGGTGACAAGGATCCTCTCAACGAATCCTACTACTCGGATCGCTTCAGTACACCTCCTTGTTCACATCATTGAAGTATTGGTGTTCCAGGGCCTTTTTTCGCAGAGATCCGCCGCCGGCTCATATGCCATCATTTTCTGCAGCAACCGCAGCAAGTTAAGTCAGAATGCAATCCTCACAATCTCTAACCTCTTTTTTCTCCCTCTTCTACAATGTTTAGTAAATTTGCACAAGGTGTAACTTTTCACTGACCTCAAGCAAATCATAACCATCGGAGTCAAGACCAGGGACAAGAGTGCACAACTTAGTGGGCTTCCACTGGGGGTACACGTGCCAGTTGGGCAGCTTGCCTACTCCTGGCCACATCTGCTCATTTGGGGTGCCCAGCAACCTTTCACCCAAAGAACAAGATGGTTAGCCATCAGCATCAGACACCCACCAAGAATTCAGAAAGCAAATAACGAACTAAAGCACTAGAAGTATTACTTGAAGATGTGGAGGAGCTGCTGCAACTCAGAGTCGCCAGGAAAAGTGGCTGGTTAGTGACCAACTCAGCTGCCATTTACAACCAAATTAGAAACTGTACGTGTTGGTTTGAATTCTGAAGCAGTTTGCATTGACAAGAATCTCTGAGCTCATCGAAATGGTACCAAATATGCAGCCCACGGACCAAATGTCAACCGGCGTGGAGTAGTGGGTGGCGCCAAGAAGAACCTCAGGCGCCCTGTACCACAGCGTCAGAATCTGCAGAAACAGTTCAGACCGCTATTAATCAGACCCAAGAGTTATGAACATCCATGCGGATGATAAACACCAGTGGGAAGCAGACCTCGTGTGTGTACTTCTTCATAGGGACGGTGATGGCACGGCTGAGTCCGAGGTCAGCGATCTTGAGCGCCATGGTCTTGCGGTCCATGAGCAGGTTGTGGGGTTTGAGATCACGGTGCAGCACCCCGCGGCCGTGGACGAAAGCCACGCCCTTGCACAGCTGGTACATCAGGATCTACGGACGCACAATCAATCGAATCAGGCAGGCGTGGGTAATACATTCACACAAACACCTCGCGTGCCATTGGGGAGGGTACAGAAAAGAGAGAAGAAAAATCACCTTGACGGTTTGTGCGGGGATCTTCTCGTGGTTGGCGCGGAAGCCCCGGATGAACTTCTTCAGGTCGGTGTCCATGTACTCGAAGACGAGGTACAGGATGGTCTGCCCCTCCTTGTTGACGCCCTGCTTGAGGTCGAGCAGGCGCACCACGTGCGGGTCCTGCGACAGCATCCGCAGCAGCGAGACCTCCCGCAGCGCGGTGGGGGGCACGCCCTCGTCGTCCTCGGGGAGCCGCGTCTTCTTGAGCGCCACGATGCGGCCCGTCGCCTTCTCCCGGGCCTTGTACACCTTCCCGTACGTGCCCTCCCCGACTTTCTCCAGCTTCTCGTACAGGTCCATGGCGCGCAGCTCGCCGCCCGTCGTCGTCGACGGCGCCGTCGGAGTCGGCTTGTGCTGGATCGTCGCCATCCGGCCGCGGATCCGGTCTTCTCCCTCGCGCGAGAGGCGGACTTGGGCGTGGTAGAGGTGGCGGGCTGGTGGTTGTGGATGGATCTGGAAACTGGAATGCGGGGAGCCGGGGAGAATTTGTATTTTGTACAGGGTGGTGGGAGCGTGGGGGAAGAGAGGTGACCGTTGCGATATTTTGGACAGGGTGGTGGGAGTGGGGGAAGAGAGGTGACCGTTGCGATTTCAAACTAGAAAACTCGGCGCGGCAATTTTTCCTTTTTTTTTTGTCATTTGATCAAGCAACTGGTGGCCGTTATGGAGCTGCTATCCTGCCACAGCAACCTCTCACATCTCAATGACAAACAGTGTAACTATGGTGAGATGGAATGGAATCAAGTAAATTGCTTTGGTACAGAATTAACATACTTCACCTGCAATTAGCAGAATGCCGGAGTTTACAAGTACTTTCAGATTTAAAAGCCAGTAGTAAAGACAGTACATCTAACACTGAAATCAAGATCATCTGTACTCTCAATTTTGAATTATCTAAGGATTTTCAATTATCTATAATAACAATGTTGGTCAGAAAATGTAGGCAACTGAAGAAGATAATTTAATGTCTCATGAAGTTGCCATTACCAGTGATACTTCACTCCTGTAAGAACATTCATATTTCTTAGCAGCATTATAGTATCTGTCAAGCTAGAAGTGTACATCAAAACTAAGTTATCTATAAAATTAATCAGACAAAAACGTACAAGTTGCAGTAAAGAAAGTACTATAATTAATTTAGAAGTTATGACAATTTCTAACATGTTTAAGACTTTAAGTACCAGAATGTTTTATTTTTAATTTTCTTAAAATAAACAAGTCAAGATGTAGCAATCTGAAATGTCAGGTCTTGTTCAAAGATGGGAAGCTCTTGAATGCCACAGATTGTTAACATGAACAAGTACTGTCTAGGTCTTCAAAAGAGAATCCTATTCTTGAAGGTCTGTGGATATCTATTAGTTAATGGTTTGGAGTTGTGGATCTAAGAATAGTCTTGTCCATTCAGATCTCCATGCCCTTGTCTAGTGTTTCATGCAAAGGAGTACAATCTGACTCCAGATGACTTCCATTAGAGCACTCATAAGACAGTTTAGTGCGGACTTGGATTCAGACCCAACTGCTAACATTTTTGTTGCCCACCAGCAAACCCCATTACTGGTCTTATCTTTGTTGTTGTACTCATCAGGATCTTCTTCAGCAAGTTTCCTTTGTGGATCAGCTTCTTCTTGATGGTCTTGAGACTGCTTTGTTGTTGAAGCATTTCTCATGATGTCCTTTGTTGTCTTCGTCTTGGACTTTTTCTCTCTTTTCTTCACCTTCTTCTTTGTCTTCCTCCTTTGTAGTTTCTGGGGTTGTCAACATCAACCTCCTTGGTTGAGTTGATGATTTCAGAGTACTTCTTCACTAAATCCTGCATAAAAGAGAATTCAAATTAAACGCTTGTAAGAAGAGATGCACAAAATAACAGATATATTTCTACATTGATGTGTTTCATTATAATGTGTCCAGCCCAAGTAGTGGACAGGAAAAACAAGTACATGTGTCACTTGCTCTGACAAAATTACACGAAAATTATCCCAATAGTATTGCCAGGGACAGTTGCTAAGCAATCTGCTATTTCTTGTAAAAACAAAACAAATGACCACGTGACTTCTAAAAAGATCTGATTACAATTTCCATGTTAGCACTGTTGGTGTCATGTCCAGGTCTAATAAAAGATGCCAATTTCAGATAACACGGTTGGACTTCAAGGTGAAAAACAGATAACAGCTACAACAATCTTGGTGACCATTGTATATTTGTAGCAGAAGCCAATTAACACAAATAAAAGACATATGAATATGGTGATAGCTTTAGCTTATCCTCTTACAAGTACTTTTTGGCCTCATCTCGCAGATGTAATCTTATTTTAGTTCCAGAGCCAAGGGGCTAGTTCCATGTATCCTCATAGATAGCAAATGACTCATAAGCTTTTGACTCCCACGCATGGCACATCTAAAACAGTACAACACTACAATAACATAAAGCAAGTTAGATAGGCAAAACTGTTTCAGCCACACACTGGCGGCAGGGATACCGAGCACGGCTTGATCTGATGGGTACCATCTTCGTTCAGGATGGCGAAGCTGCAGGCAGGCCACAGTGTTCCGGATAGCAATTTCATCCAACACCATGCGGGTGTCCCTCGAGTGGTTGTTATCCCCGGGCTTCTTTCAGTGTCACACCGCACCACAGCTCTGAGGCCCTGCTTGGCCGCAGCTAGGCAAAAGGAGCTAGCCTGCTGGGGGCAACGCAAACAGACAGGGTGTGTCCTTGCGGTCACAGCGGTGCGGAACAGTGGAAGGAGGGAGGAGGAGCGGGCGGCGGAGCACGTGGAGGGCACAGGCCGACGTGCGAGGTGGCCAAGCGCCAGGACATGGTGTTAGTGGTGGAGAGCACGGTGCAATTGCGCCAGTCGCCACTTCCAACTCCTCTTGACGCGCGCCAGCCATATCTCCTTCTCCTGCTAGAGCGTGAACTGAAGCGATGGCGCCATTGGCCCTGGCGCTACAACCAAGCAGTAAAACGGCTAATATAACAATGGTGCAAATCTGCAGTTGTAACAACCCCAAAAATTGCTCTGGAGTTCAGCCTATCGCTTCATTGAGTGCTTGCACAAGCACTTGTAATAAGAAGACAAAATTAATAATGATGCTGAACATGAGTAATATTTAAGTCAACATCGGTTTATTTCGAAGGAAGCTAACCGATTGATGCCAAATTAAAAAGCAGATAATTGGGCAAGTTACCTGGTGAGTCATTTGTTGCAGTATTGGTATCTAGTTTCGATTACATAATCCAGCAAAACTGCCAGAGACGTACGTGACGTACGTATACTTTCACAGGGGTTGATAGTTTGCTCGTTGGTCCGTGTAGACGCAACGCAGCATTTCGTCGAACAGGTCGCGGGGACACGAGGTGTGCTATGCCCGTACGCTGCTGGCACACTCGCAGCTGCCCGAGGGCGAGGAGAGTTGCTGTTGCAGTTGGACCTCCTGTAATCCTGTAGCTGCTGTCCAAGCCCACTCGGATCGTCCGCACCAGGTGCCGTTGCTCTCTCGCGCCGCCCTTTGCCGGTGCAGACAGCTTGTGCCATCTGGGCAGGTGCGGCGCCCCTCGTGGCGAGCAGCGGCGGTGGTGGCGTGGCCTCGACGGGGGCGCGGGCGTCGAACGGCGACGCCGCTTCGGCGGTGGCGGCAGTGGCGCTCGGCAGCGCGGCCTGGGTGGGGGTTGCGACGGGGGCGAGGGCGGGAGTGGTGGCCGCGGCGGAGGCGCGGCGCGGGCCTGTGGAAGAGGAGCGTCGGGCCTCCCGTTAAGGCGGCGCTCGGCAGCGCGGCCTGAGCGGAGGCTAGGACGGGGGCAGCACTCGGCGGGGACGGGAGCTGCGGCGGCGCGGCATGGGGCTACGGGAGGAGGAGCGCCGGAATTCGGGAAAGGGGGAGCACGGCACGGGAGGACGGATCGAAGCGCGAGAAGGTTCTGGGGTTCCGGGTTCGTAACGGAACTGGGCGGAGACAGATTCGACCCGTTATCGGATGGAGACGTGGCTGCTTTTGCTGCTTGAAACGTGGCACATTAGGATGCAAGATAGCGTGGTACAAGATTCGTCAAGTACAGATACAGATACAGATTTCGCCTGTGTCCGTTTATATATGTAATATATAAAAATGAAAAAAGAAAATCTTGGACCGCCTGTGTATGTGGTCTTGAGCTCAGGTGACGCCTTTCGGCCTTTGAGTCCTTTCAGACAAGTGTTGGGCCCAACGGGGAAGCTCAAAGTAGCCCAGCCGAGCGAAGGGCCGTAGAGGAGCTAGGATTCCTGGCAGGGACGGACCCACAGGATATGCAGGGTGGGCCACCGCATATCTGGGGTCCGCCAGTCGTAGAGATAGGTAGAAAATTTTAATGTAAAAATAAAAATAAAAAAGAAAGAAAGTAGGAAACGATCGGTGCTTTGGCTTCCGTCCTGGACTCTCGGTTCCGCGATCTCGGCGATCCGCGGGATTTCCTTTGAGTTTGTTTTCTTTGTGCACTTAATGTATGTTATTCTTGGATACACAAATGAGTTATCCGAGTGTTTACAGAGAAGGGATCAAGATATTCTTAATGCAATCTCACTTGTTAATGTGGCAAAGAGCAGAATGCAACAGTTGAGGTCTAATGGTTGGGATAAATTTCATAAGACGGTCACTTCTTTTTGTATTACACATGGTGTCGAAGTTCCTGCTATGGATGATGTTTATGTGCCTTATGAAAAATCAGCAAGGTATGCCCGTGCCCGAAACCAAAAAAATAATGACCATTTTAGAAGAGAAGTGTACATTGGTGTCATTGATCAAATTAGTCAATAGCTTGATAATCGGTTTGATGAGATCAACATGGAGCTACTCTCTTGTATGGCAGCCTTTAGTCCTTCCAAGTCCTTTGCTTCATTTGATGCACAGAAGCTACGTAGATTGGCTGAATTTTATCCTAATGACTTCTCCAACAACAATTTGGTACAACTAGAATTGCAACTTGATAATTATATTGATGACATGAAACGAACTGAATGCTTCCAAGGTCTACACAACATTGTTGATCTCTCAGTTAAGCTTGTTGATACAAATAGGCACAAAGTGTATGATATGGTGTACTCGCTTCTCAAATTGGTATTGCTTTTATCGGTGGCAACTGCGAGCGTTGAAAGGGTATTTTCTGCATTGGTTATAGTGAAAACAAAATCAAGGAATAAGTTAGGTGATATTGTTCTGGATGATTGTCTACAAACATTTATTGAGTGGGATATTTTCTTTCAAGTTGACGAAGATGATATAATTGAGACATTCATGTCATTGAGAAAGCGACGGATCAACAAGTAATATTGTAAGTCTCTTATATGGCTATATTTTAAAGTATTTTATATTTCATTTGAACAATTTATATGGTTT